TGATAGATGGAGAAAAAAAGATTGAAATTGCCAATGATTTCATCTTACTTGAATCCATAATCAATACCAGAAAATCAGGATATGTATTGCTTTGCTTTAGTCCACCATCAGGGACCTCTCCAAATTACTGAGGAACAATGGTGTCAGTTTGAAGACTAATGTGCATCTAATTCAGGCCACGGTCTTTTCAATCACTTGCTCTGCATCTGAGAGCTGGACACTTAATAAGGATGACAGAAGAAGAATTGATGCCCTTGAACTGTGATGTTGGAGAAGAGGACTGAATATTCCATGAACACTCTAAAAAACAAAGAGATATGTCTTGGAGAAAGTGCAATCAGAATGCTCCTTGGAAGAAAGGATGGTGGCATTTCCACATACTTTGGGAATGCCCTTGGAATGGGACATCATGCTTGGAAGAGTGGAGAGCCAGTGAAAGAGGGAAGGTCCTCAATGATGTGGACTGACAGTGACTATAACAATGGACTCAAGTGTGTCAAAGATTGTGAGGATGGCACAGGATAGGGCAAAGGTCAGCTGATTGTAGGGTCACTATGAGTTGTAGTTGACGTTACGGCACCTAACAACAGTTAGAAACAATCATTAATCTGCTTCCTGTTTCTATGCATTTGCCTTTTCTAGATGGCTAATTTAAACGGACTCACAATTTGTGGTCCCTATGGCACTTAACAACAATAACAAGAATGAGAGAGCTCTGTTGGCCTAGTAGACACAAAGTGATGCTACCAAGCCAAAGGTGGGTGATTTTAATCTGCAGCTCTCAGGCCTGATTTTAATTGTTTTTGGTCAAACAGTCTTCTACGTGGTATAGCACTGGTCTGTCCATTTGCTGAACAGAGGTAACTCACGGTTGCTGTGATGATAAACACTGTGACACTGATGTTTCAAATGCAATATTGGTCCCCCATGGCAGACAGTGTTTGGTGGAGCTCCCTGATTAAAACAAGCTTGGGAGCAGGGGTGTCATCCACTTCTGAAATACCTTGCCTCTGGAAAATCTATGGACTTGGAGAAACGATGACAGTTACACAAGTGTTCAGGTCTTTCATTCATAGGGTCGCTATGAGTTGTCTACGACTTGACCCACTTAACAACAAACCACCCTTCTTTTATATATAT